GGGACTGGAGGAGGATGCCGAGGAAGTGGGGAGCGCGAGACGCCAAAAGGCGCCCTACCTTGGCCTGACGTTACCTGTGTTCCACTGCAGGTGCACGCCTCAAACCGCCCCCAGGCACACTTGGAGAGCAGGCGATGGACCGGGCAGAGCGACTGGAGTGGCTAGAAGCGGTGGTCGGGAAGCAAAGGCTGGGATTGTTCCTTCGTGCATGGATACTCTGACCTCTCCCCCTACTCTCCTGTTCCCAGGTCGCCGAGCACGTGGTACCACCCCCACTCCCCCGCCTCCCTGTGTCCCAGCGGGAGAATCTGTCTTCGAGTGGAAGTACATGTTACCTTGACTTTCTCTGCAAATAACTCCTCACCCCACGTGACTCGAGACTTTTAAGAGTTTTATTTATTCCTTTCAGTAAGAAAGAGGAAGACTCCAAGAAACACATATATGGAGGGTATTCGACATACAGAAACTCACAGTATTTCGGGGACAAACTGCCCTCACGAACAAAGTGATTCTGGTGTGTTTGGCTCCAGGGCCCGCAGAAGTAGGGAGGCAAAGACCAAGTGTGCTTTCCTCAACGGCAGGTGTGCGCTCACCTGGAGCAGTTTCAGATATGTAGCATCACAACTCCTTTGTCACCGGGAAGGAGGGCTGCCAGCCTCCTCCCTCGCCTTCGCCTCACGCCTGTACAGACCCCGAGGAATTCCTGTGATATTTGCTGAACGTTTCTTTTTTCATGAGCCTCAGCAAGTTCCATTCCCTTCTGAATAGTACTGTACCAAGCTTTGATTTTTCTGCTCTCACACCCTGCGGATTAAATAATCCATAGGTTCTGCGCCTTTCGAGGGGAAGAGCCGCTTCAGGTTGTAACTCCAAAATGATCTCAGGTAATAATCTTTTCTCCCGTTCTGTAGCACATTTCTAATGTAAAGATTGATTAAATCGTAGAACAACCGATTTGAATGGGACCTGAGAAACCCTCTCATCTAACTTCCCACCCAATGCTCTGGAGTTCCAGCTGAAACATCTGTGACAGTCACCAGATTTTTACTTGAACATTTTAAACCTCACTTCCACAGTGTATTCCATTTTTGAAGAGCTGTTAAACAGTCTTCATTTTGAGCTTAAATCCCACCGGTCCCACTTCTGCCTTCCGGCATTACCTGGCATGTTAGTATTCTTTCACAAGACAGCATCCACACATCTGAAGGCAGTCGTGCTGTCTGTGCTGCCTGACACCACCCTCCCACCCACCACTGAGCCAGTCCAGGCCTTGAGCCTGAACCAAAAAGTAACTAGTGATTGCTTTCTAAGGCCCTTCAACATTCTGCTCATCTTCTTTTTGATACACATTGGTTTGCTTCTATCCCTTTTAAATGATGGTATCTGGAATAGAAACAGTGCTTCCTGTGTGCTCCAACCAGCACAGACTACAGCCGCACCCTTGTTCCAGATGGCAGTCTTCTATTAACACTGCTTAAGATTGTATTGGCTTTTTTCGGTGGTCCAGTGCCGAGGCCCAGGCCACAGCCTTCTTGCCAGAACTCTGGTACTGGGTTTTAGGAAATGCAGGTTCCTAGGAGAGATGTAACTAAGGCTCCTGAAATAGAAGTGATCCCAACTGAGCAACAGAGGAGATGTGATCTGCATTCTCTCCCGTCTCTCAAGGGTGACTTGAATTTACCCACATGACATGGCATTTCTCAGTTTCAACAGTGAGGGGGCCTTAAGTGAAGGATAGCTCTGACTGACACTGAGGAGTGGGACCAAAAGTAAAACAACAAATGCTTAAGAACTACTGGGTTCTAATTCTAAGGCAAAACTCTCAAGGGACCCATGCTGCCCTCCTGATATCAGCTTAGTGTCCAGAAACCAATGAATGGTATCCTCAGCAGGGAATCCCCACCAACACTACAGGCAAAAATTAGCCCAGGTGCTGAGCTTGCTCCAGCTAAATATGGAGTAGAGGAGGTTGTAGCTCAAGTGGCAGAGCACACGCTTAGCATGCGTGAGGTCCTGGGTTCAATCCCAGAACCTCCATTGAAAAACCAAATAAATAAATAAGCCTAATTACCTCCCCTCTAGAAAAAAAAGAAAATTAAAAAGAAAAAAAGAGACTAATTTCAGGCTAAATATGGGATTTTGTTCCCCCTTACCTAACACTGAGCTTCTGTCCCCTTCCAGTTGGACTCCATCTAGCAACCTCAATTCATGCCCGTGCCTTATTAGAACCTGAATGCTTCGCCACCAAGTTTCCTGAGCCTGATTATAAACAAGGTCCAGCGTACCCACTTTGGGCTCATATCAGCCTGGCAGCCAATGAAAACCTGAAAGTTAGGTATTAGCCATATTTTCTGCACTGAAATTGGGCTGCTGGGTTTTTTTAAAGTCTAGTTTTGCAGTTATCCCTATTAAATGTTATCTGCTTCATTCCAACTGCCTCATTTTGACTCTGTCACCTTGTGCATTATTTATTACCTCTAGTTTGGTGTCATCTGAAATTTGATAAGCATGCCTTCTGTCTCCTCTAAGCAGCTGTCAAAAAGTGTTAGAATGTGTATGTTGGTGAAACGAATAATAAAGAAGCCAACTCGAGTAAATTATGGTCTGCATGCCTTCCTGTTTGAGTGATGAAGGACTGTTTTTAAGAAAATGGACTTTACTGAGCCTGGTACGTAAGTAAATTCATTGTCCCCACAAATATTTATTGAAAATTCCCAAGCCACAACATCATGTTATGTACTTCAGAGACATAAAAGAAGTATTAAAACATGATCCTTGACCTTTAAGAGCTCACAGTCTCGCTAGGGAAATAAGATACCCAAAATTGGAGCTATGCTAAGGCACATGAGAGAGAGAGACAACAAAGAGCTGTAAGGAGGTAAGGGGAAAAGCTATCACTGTGGCTGGTGGGAGTGGAAGAGGGCTGCTTGAAGGTGGTTGGACTTGGTTTAGGACTTGAATAATCTTTAGGCTGTGAAGAATTGGAAGGAGAGAATGAGCATTCTAAGGACAAATATGTGAAAAAGCCATATGTGTGTTCAAGGAACAATTCATCAGCTCAATAGATCAGCTCAACAAACGTATGTATTGGTTAAGATAACTCTAGCTGCTATAACAAAATGACCCCAGCACAGAGAGTGGCACAGAGTTGATAGAGGTGTATCTCTTGTTCACTGCAAGGCTTGCACAGATGTTCCTGACTGGGTCCTGACTCTTCTCCACGCAGCATGCGGGCATCCAGCCTTCTTCCATTTTGTGGCTCCAACACTTTGAAGTACGGCACCCGAGTTCACCACGCTCACCTTCCTCAAGCTGACAGAACATTATAGAACGTGCAGCACTGCGTGTGACAGGTTCATGGGCCGGGCCAGGAAGTGATATACATCACCTCTGCCCGCTCTCTTCTGGCTGGAACTCAGTTACACAGCCACAATAAACCAAAAAGAAGAGCTGAGAAATACAGTCTTCTGTGAGCCCAGAAAGAAGAGGAACAGGCTGGGGACACAGCCAGCTGGTTTCTGCCCCAGATCACAATGGGGAAAGTGCAAAATAAAGGTAGAAAGGTAGGCTAAGCTTTCAACACTTGAGCAGTGGAGAGACATATGCTGTGAAGACTGAATGCAGCTTCCGAAGCCAAACTCTGTGGGCGGAAGCCTGGCACTGCCATTTCCTTGTTGTATGATCTTAGCCATGTTACATAAAAGCTCTTTGCCTCCCTCTCATCCTCATCTATGAAATTGGAAATGATGAGCCCATTATCATACGGTTATTATGAAGATTAAAGTTAATAACACAAAGTATTGGAAAAGTGCCTAGAATACTACCTAGCACCTAATAGGCACTCACTAAATATTACCCATTGACAAGTTTGAACGTGATATCTTACCAAAGGCCAAACCACATACCCACATCCACTGAGTTATCAGAGTCATACAGATATCTCACTGCTCTCCAAAAGAACCCAGGGCCTTCCTAGGTTGACAGACCATATCTCACCCATAAGCATACTCATAGGTTCAATACGTGTTTTTGAACCCTTGCTACATGCCAAGTGCTGTGCTAGACACTGGGGATGTAACTGTGAATTCCGATGTGGAACTTACAGTCAAGTTGC